CAATGGCTACAGGCAGCCACGTTGGGAGTGTTGGCAGAGGAAGCTTCCTTATGGCAAGTTTCAACACAGTTCTGCTGCTCTCTTCCTTGGAGTGGGTTACTGTTTACATCTCCCAGAGTTTTGAAGAGCTACAAACGTCAGGCATTACAATGCAGCTCCCAGACAAGAAGAGAAATGTTTGTCAGCCCCTCCCACGTGAGATTCTTGACCATTCCAAGGGCTGGCTCACTTTATAGAGAAAGAGTGTTCAGAAATACCCTTACCTCTCCACCAGAATGCTAAGAAGAAATTTCATCCCCAAAGAAGTCCCAGAAAGCATGTTCCCTTGGCCTTCTGTCAATTAAAAGCACACCCTCCAGCTCTTGCAAAATGAAACCAGTTCTTCTATGCAAATAAACTAAGCCTAGCCAGAGAGAAACAATCATGCAATGTAAACTCTATCTATAAAAATTTCTGTGTGTTCAGCGAGGCCCGGGACGGTGGGGGGGCAAGGGGGAGGCGGGATCATCTTTGAAAGGAAGATGACTGTTACAGAGACAGCAGCACAAGGGGAAGACTGAGTGAGCACAGGAAAGTCACAAGAGAGAGGAGAGTCAAGGGTAGAGAGTGTAGACAGAATGGACAGGGCAGGAGAGGCCCGGGGAGCAAAGACAGGTACACGGAGAAGGAGCCAAGTAAGTGTCTCATGAGGCCTTACACTGCTAACTGTGATTTTACGACAGATCTGGTCTCTGTGTCTATTTGTGTGAGAGTACAGCAGTGTGTGTATTTCTGTTAGAACTCGGGGGTCCTGGGGTGGGGGGCTGGGTGGCTCAGTTGCTGAAGCAGCTGCCTTTGGCTCAGATCATGACCCTGGAGTCCTTGGCTCAAGCCCCACATCAGGCTCTCCACCTACCAGGCAGTCTGCTTCTCCCTCTGACCCTCCCCCACCTCATGCTCGCTCTCTCTCACTTTCTCTCTCTCAAATAAATAAGTAAATAAAATCTAAAAAAAAAATCTCTGGGGCTCTGAGGTTATGAGACTCCCCATTACTGATCAGTCGCATTCTGAGCTTCAGGGGAACAAGAGGTTACGAGGCGGCCCAGGAAATGGTGAACGTGGTCTTGCCTGGATGAGACATTGCGGACTTTGGAAAGAGTGCCACTTTTATGCCTCCCCACTTTCCTCCAAACCACAGACACCGATGAGGAGAAAATGGCAAGATACAGTCACCTTTCAAAGACCCATCTCAACTTCTATCCTGGGTCAAAAGACACTTCATCAAATATTTCTCAAAGATCCTCTTCCCCAAGCCTCCTCTGGTAAGGGAATGAGGACATCCATCTGTGTCCCTCTCAGGAGGGCACATTCTGGAAGCAGCAGCTCCTAGCTGATCCTTCTGACAGCTGCCAGCTCCCAGCCCTTGGCTCCTGTCCTCACTCCCTAGGAATGGCTTTCACCCGCCAGCCCCCAGTGGGCCTCCCTGCAGATCCCTGGGCCTGCTGCTCAGTGGGGAGGCACACCACAAGTCCCCAACCGTGTTTGGACCCAGGCCAAGGGCTGTATTTAGGCTTACCTGGTTGATGTTCCAGGATGGCCTACACCACGTCTCATTTTAGTAAAGCCATCAAACGAAGGGCTCCTTCTTGGCCCCCATCTTTCACTCCCAATCCCTCTCCCATCTCAGGAATTGAATGCTTTGCCTCTGATCTTTGCTCTGGTCTTTCGTTTTCCCCACTGGTCCTTGACCGAGTTCCCAGGCCCGGTATTTGTACTTCCCTGGCCCTCCTCCCCCTTCCCTCCTAAGGAAGCTCCGGACAGCTGGAAACAACTCGCTTTTAACTGTTCTAAATTAAAGCAGCTAAACAAAGGAGGTAATGTGTGTTAAAACACTTGTAGAACCGGAAAGCGATGTCCAAACGTTGGTCTGGGCAGCTGGGGTACAGTAGAAAAAGCAAAGGCTCTGGCATCGGACAAAGCTGGGCTCCATTCCCAGCTCTGCTGTTTAGTTCTGGGTAAGTCACTTGACCTCTGTTGGCCTATTTCCTCATCTGTTAAATGGGGGCAGAAATACTTACCTCATCAGGTAGTAAGAGTGAGGAGGAGTGAAGAAAGTAATCGTGCAAAAACCCTTTGTATAGAGTAAAGGACCATCACTGCTACCTCTCAGGACAGACCCTCAACAAACCCCTTTTCCCCCTAAAGAAAGATCAAAAGCCACAGTAAAAGGAAGATTCCAGAAATAAACCTATACATTGATGGTCAACCTATTCCTTGCAGGAACCCCACGGAGGCTGCTGAGTAGCCGCTACCCAATGCTTTTGAGCCTCAGGGCAACTCGGCTGCCCAGGTCCGAAAGCACTAGGAACCTTCCAGAGAACCCTTAACACCCATCCCGCTGTCCTATCTCCCCAACTCGCCAACCCCAGAGCTTCTCTTCCAGCCAGACTGGCTCACATTCTACATGGCGCCTCAGCTTTCACCCATCCCCTTGGGGAAAGTCTCCAAGAACATGGGGTATTCTTTGCTCAACCCAGAAACAGCTTTTCTGAAAGCCTCTCACCCCAAAGCTCCCTCAGGCCCAGACCTACAAGACCTCCTCCCTCTGAGGGTCCCACCTATGCTGATGTGTCCCCCACCCCTTAATGCTTCGGCTTGCCCTGGCATGGGGAGGGGCGTAGGAATGAGAAATGTGTGTATGAGGGGTGCCTGGGTGGTTCAATCAGTTGAGGGCCCTACTCTGGGTTTCAGCTCAGGTTGTGATAGGGTCATGAGATCGATCCCTGCATTGGGCTCTGCGCTGGGCATGGAGTCTGCTTGAGATTCTCTGTCTCCCCCTCCCTCCTCCCCACCACAACCCCCACTCTCACTCTCTCTCTCTCCCTAAAAAAATAAAAAGTGGGAAAAAAAGGGGAAATGTGTGTGTGAGAGAGGGAAAGAAAAAAAAGACAGACAGACAGACAGACAGACTGGATGTGAGCGGGGAAGGAATTCTCCTGACTTGGAGTCAGGAGCAGGAATATTCAACTTCCTGACAACCTGGTCCAGCTCTACAGTGTTTTCTTTTCCCTTGTCTTATCCCCGCCTTTCACTTTCCATTGCTGAGCCTTTGACCGTCCAAGGTGACCATCCAAGGTCAAATTACGAACTGCCTTTCAGGTTCCTATTCCTCAGGGAGCCCAAAATGGGACAGAAACAGCCCAGGGCTTAGGGGCTATCTGCCTCATTTCCAGGGTCAAAGGAAAACCTCTTTTAGGTAAAAAATAATTCCCTAAACACAAGTGGGACCCCTCTAGAGCAGTGGTACTCAGTCCTGGCTACAGAACAAAACCATCTGGGGAACTTTTAAAAATATTGATGACAGGTCCTCAATTTAGACCCATTAAATTAGAAGCTCTGGAGGAGGGGTCCAGGCATCTGGGCTCTTTTAAGCACCTCAGGTGATTCTATTCTAATAGGAAGCCAGGTTGACAACTGTAGCACTAAAGCTATTATCCCCATAATCAGAGGTCAAGGTTCGTTAAATGAGCAAAGAAATGCTTACAAATGCTTTAAAAGCAAAGGAAGGAAGAAGTCCATTATTATAGGGCACTTACTTACTGGGGGCTGAGTCCTCCCACACTTTTGTATGGCGCATGCGTGTGCGTGCACGCGCACACACACGCACGCACAAATATGGCAAGAGGTTGAGAGGGAAGATCGGGAACTCAGGGAATTTGAGGCTGAGGGCAAGACCGCGCAAGCAGCTTAGCCCAGGGCTGGCAGACATGATCTTTCTGGAGAAACTCCAGGGTGAAATTCCTGGGGAGGGGGAGACTAGCATTACTCTTACCTGAGCTAAAAAAAAAACCACCTCTTTTCTTCCATCTCTCCCCAATCTGTTAAGGGAAAAACTACCCAGAAAGGTTTCCTGCTAACAGTGTGTATTTGTGTGTGGCGGGGCGGGGGAGCACGAAAGGCTATGTTTACATAACCAGCATGAACGGGGAGAATTGAGGCCACCAGCTCCTCAACCCCGCCCCCAGAACGTGCCTCAAGAACTCGGGCAACTCATGTTAACAAGAAATGTTTGCACGCTAACGACATTGCCTGGCTCCTTCAACTTGAGTTGTTTGAAGGCGGCTATATTCTTAAAGCGACTGCCTCTGATTCCTCCCTTCAAAACATGAGTTCCCCATCGCCTCCAGCCTCCTAGCTTCTACCTTGGCTCCCACCAAGGGCCTCTGGAATGGGAAGGCACTTCCTTCCTTACCATGTCCTTAAAGCCTCCAAGGACCGCGGCAGTGATGATGCCCAGGAACAGGCCGACGATGTTGAGGATGGTGGCAGACCAGAGCAGGTGGTAGAGGTGAATGATGTCTTGGCAGCTGCTGACGTCAATGTACTCGTAGTACCCACCGGTGATCTCCACGCGGCTGGACGGGGAGAGGCACACACCAGTCAGTCCCGGGGGAGCAGGCTGTCTCTCTCTCTCTCTCTCTCTCTCTCTCTCTTTCTCCCCCCCACACCCCCCCCCCCCCCCCAGGGCTCTGGCTATCAAGCAGCTCAGCAAAAAGACAGGTGAGCAGGTGGGGAGCTCTGGTGAGGGACAGCACAGCCATGAATGTGCTGGGGGAGCGAGGCGCTATGATAAAATGTGACTGCTGTGTATCCAAAAGATAAATGAAAAAAACAAAAAACAAAAAACCTCCTACTGACCAGAGAAACCCTTGTCACCATCACTAACAGACTATGTATGCATATCTATCTATCATCCTAGATGTCGGTCGGATCCATGATTTTGAAAAATAATACAATTATAATAGCAAAAAGGGCTACAGTGCTCAGTCTTAGATAGCATATGTGGGCACTCGGTCTGTGCCAGGCCCAGTGCTAAGCGTTTCACATATGTGAATTCATGAAATCTGTGCTGTTGAATATGGTAGCTACTGCTCATGGCACCGTTTAATTAAATTAATTAAAATGAAGTAAAACAAAAAATTCCGTGCTCAGGCTCACCAGCCGCATTTCAAGTGCTCAAAAGCCACACTCCTAAGAGCCACACTGGAGGCTGGCAGAGCAGATTACATTCCCATCATTGCAGAAAGTTCTATTAGCATGGCAAATCCTTACGTTAGTCTATGAGGTGGGGCCTATCACCATTCCCATTTTCCAGATGAAGAAACTGAATCACAGAGAGGTTAGGGGCTTGCCCAAGCCATAAGTAGGAAAGCTGGCATCGGAATTCAGGCATCAAAGTTTTCCCCATTTCCTCTTTCAAAATAAAACAGCAACAAACACAAAAACATCGTCCCAGGAAAAAACTGAAGACATGCTGCTGCCCAAAACCTGAATCTCACCTCCCTGGAGAGGGCTTCCCTGGGCACTCAGTCCGAGGACACCCCCAGGCCCTCCCCGCCCGGCCACCGTCTCTCACGTGACTTGCTGTGAACTGAATTGTATCCCCTTCCAACATTGGCAAGTCGCAGCCCTAGCTCCCACTATGATTGCAATCCGACACAGACGGGGGTTTTTAGGAAGTCATTGAGGTTAAATGAGGTCAGAAGGGTGGAGCCCTAATCCGATAGGATTGATGGCTTTATAGAAAGTGGAAGAGAGAGAAAGAGAGAGAGAGGAAGAGATCTCCGTCTGCACCCACCGAGGAAAGGCCAGGTGAGGACCTGATGGGGGATGGGGAAGGTGGGTGTCTGCAAGCCAGGAAGAGAGACTCCCCCAGGCCTCGCCATGTGGGCACCCTGATCTCAGACTTGCAACCTCCAGAACTCTGAGCAAATGAATGTCTCTTGTCGAAGCCACCCCGTCTATGGTATTTACCACGGCAGCCCAGCCCGAGCTGACTGACAGGTTTACCCTCCTTGGATTGCTAGTATCTAGCACTTACTTGTTCCTGTCTATCTCTTGGACCTGAATGGAAGCTCTAGGGCAGGGACTCGGCTTGTTTTGTTCAGTAACATCCCTGACATGTAGCTGGTGCTACATAAACACTTGCTGAGCTGATTCACTGAAAGTTCCTGTCTTCTTGGATGTTGCAAACTAGCTTACAACTTGGCCTGGGAATCGTTAACGAATCTCCAGTATTGTGCTTCTTAAAAAAACTGAAGGTTAACCTCCAAAGGGAGGGATTGTTCATGCCAGAAAAGACTTTTCAGCATCACAAATGATTTTATTTTATCTTAGGATTCTTTACTATCAGTGTTTTCAGTGTTTTTTCTGAGGACTTGCCATCTGCGCGGTTACGGGACAGACTGCATCAGAACCATCTGCGTTTGTGTGTGTGTGTGTGTGTGTGTGTGTGTGCGCGCGCGCGCACGCGTGTGCACCTGCCTGTGTGTGTCAGTGCATGATTTGTGTGTCTGTGCACACATATGTCTTGGAGAAAGAGATGCTTAAACATGCAGATTCCCAGGCCTGGCTCCAGTCCCATAGAATTGGGCAGAATGTCTTAGGGTGAGGCTCAGGGATCTGTGTTAACAAGCTCACTGATGTTTGAAACCCACTGTTTTATTTGGTTTTGATTTTTTTTTTTATTTTTAAAGGAAACTCTGCCCCCTACGTGGGTTCCAACTCTCAACCCAGAGAACAAGAGTCACACACTTCCCCGAACAAGAGCCTGCCAGGTGCCCTGAAACCCACTGTTTTAAATAGTAAGCTTCTAGAGTAAGATTTTAAAGGTGTCTTCATTCATCAGAATTTGAACTGGATTTCAGTATGTTCAAGGGCAGAGCTGGAGCCCACTCATAAGTAGGAAGAGATACACAGAAATCTTATTGCCTAAAGCTTAAAGACCCATAACTCCCTGGGTACATCCATGAACATAGTAACTCCAAAGTAATTATTACTCGTGGCAGGTAGAATATTTTGCTCTTGAGAGTATCAAATAAGAATACATATATCTAGCTATCATCAGAGATGTCGATCAAATCTACAATTCTGAAAAATAATGCAATTATAATAGCAAAAAGTGCTATAGTCCTTACTATTACCTGGTTCTACTCTAAGCAGTCTGCAAACACTAACTCAGTCAATCTCTATAGTAACCCTATATGGTAGGGGCTATTTTTCTCCCTGTTACATACAGATGAGAAAAATCAAGGCAGAGACAGAAGGTAGAGGTAGAAGAGGTAGAGGCGAGATTTGAACTTGGACACTCTGGCCAGGAGTTTGTACTTAACCATGACATTTTGCTGCCTCTCGAAATCAAAACTGAGCACCACTGACATAGAACACTGTGGAATTCTGTTACTCTATCATTATGAATTACAATCAAGCAAATCAGATTTATATTTCATGCTACGTTTTTT